CAGGAGTGAATCTGGAAGGATGGATAAGAGTTTTCCAAGTGCTCAAATTTGGTATGAGTGGGGAAGGGAAGACATTCCAGTAGAAGGAGTAGCGTGTTGTCACGGAAAAGGAGCAGGATGGCTGTAGAGGAAGAACAGGAAATGCAGTAGGAAAAGCCACAAAGGTCTCTGATCTCTGTGACAGGAGCTTGGCCTTCATCTTTTGGGAAGGAAGTGTTGGGGTCATTAGAGACTTTTAAGCAGGAAAATAGCATAATCAGACTTGTGTTTTAGAAGGATCACGTCTGTGCTGGTTACAGGAATAGGGCAACTTTCTGGTTTGGTTGGTCAGCTGGAAGGTTGTCACTCATAGCACATCATACAGACCACGGGAGGTAAAGCAGTTTGGGGTGTGTTTGTCAGTGTGAGGCAGGGGAGTGGCAGACAATGAGAACCAGGAAGGTGTTAAGGCAGGCCCACAACATGGTGAACTTGAGATTTCCAGCAAGGTGCCTGCAGGCAGCTGGACAGATAGCTTTGTAGCTCAGGACAGTCTGGGGTGAAACCCTGTAAATTCTGCTCTCTTTCAAATTCATTTAAACATGGTTCTTAAATTAATGCGTGGCTCATATCAACATATGCAGAAACTATCTTAAATGTGTAGCTCCTCCCAGCTTTGAATGAACTACTCACACGTCACTCCCACATTCACAGCCATCTAAAACATAATCGATATTGAGGCAGAGCTGAGAGCAGATAGAAGAAATTTCTCGGTCATAGACTCTAAAAGATCATGTGATCATTTAGGGGGTTAGGAGTTAGAAGATGGAAAGGTAAAGAAAGGAAGTGATACCATTTTCCAGCTGACTTCCCCGTTCGTACTTCCTTCCTTAATTTCCTTTTGCTTTAACTTGGGTCAAAAAGCAGATGACTCCTATAGAAACAACATTCCTGAAAGTGTGGCACTTCTTCCACTTCTCTTCTTCTCTTTCTGGCACCTTCCCTCAGTCGCAGACTAAAATCAGCACAGAGTCAATCACATAACTCATCTATCTTTTCTCATGCTCCTTCCTTGCTCAGGAACACCGAATGCTCCCTATTACCTCTCAGGTTAAAGTTAAATGTCTGATGCTGAAGCCACATCTTCTCGGGGCCATCCTGCTTGAGTTCTCGGACGGAAGTCCATCTGTCCACCGATATGGCTCATTTGATCCTTGGCGTTATAATGATAGCACTTGACTTCTAGGAAGTACTGACCAACAGAACATTTTATCATGATAAAAATGTCCGATACTGGAGCCGCGACCCACAGAGTACAACTGAGCACTTGAAATGTAGCTGGTGTGACTGAGAAATTGAATTTTAACTTAATTTAATGAATTTTAATCCATTCAAATGTACACAGTCCCTCACAGCTAGTGGCTGATACGTTGGACAGTACAGTGCTAGGGGCTTGTTCTTTCTCTCTCCATTGGAATAAGGGTGGGTTTCTGACCCTACCGAGCCCTTCACTCTCCACTTGCCCCAGTGTCCTATGGAGGCTGAGTAACTGCCTTTCCTCCTTGCTTCTCTGGTCTGCCCGTAGCTGTCTCTCCCTCCCTATGGCCTGGGTCAGCTCCTTCCCGAAGGGCTGGGAACGGGCTCTGAGGGGACAATGACTGGCTCATAGCAAAGCTTATCATAGTTATTATTTTCATTATGACAAACAGCTCCATTAATAGTAACAGTTTTCTTTGTTTACTTTATCCGGAAATAAGTCACACCCACAAAGACAGACTGTTCAGAGAAACTAGCAAGGAATGTTAGTCAAAACCCAGTCAAGCTGGAGGCCCACCAGGCTCCCTTCCCTGATATTTGAAGCATCCTATGACAGGTCTGGCTGATAAGCAATGCTGTGGGTTGTGGTGGGACATCACACTGCACACAGGGCCAGAGGTTCCCCTGCTCAGTCACTGGCTCATCTGAACCTCCCACTGCATCCCCCGGTGTTTGGGCCTAATTCCAGAAGTGGGAGGGTTTGTACTGAGCCATTCAGTCTCTGGCTGTGGCTGGTGGGCCAATGCCTATGGTCATGGGGGGTGACTCCGGAAATACTGGTTGGACGTATGGGCAGCTGTGTAATTTATAGAATATAAAATATGGTTGGTCAATGCCTCAATCTTATGTAGGCAGACAAGGTGGTATCTTTCTGTCACAGGACATCAAAATTCCTTGTCTTGGTCAGGTCCGAGAACACAAGATCCTCACACCTACTCCTGCCTTTGCCAGACTATTCTGCAATGTACAGATACTTCTGGAGGAGGGTTGTTTTTATTTGTTGTTGTTGCTGTTCTTGACACAACAAAGCATAAAAAAAAAATTGCCCATAGTTACACACAAATTAATACCCCATCCTCTCCAATATGCAGTGCGTATTGGCCCCTGCTCACGCCGTCCCACACCCTTAATGCCGTTGAAGACCTGCAGTCTCTCCTGTTTCCTACAGTGGTCCTAACAATGTCTGTGGGTCTCTGGAGATTGCCTGCGAAGCCTGAGTACTCATAGGCGCTGTGTGGAACCTCCTATTTTCCTCCTCTCCTGTGCTGGTTCCATTTGTTGGCATTGTCTAGAAGCCATATGAAGGCCCCTCGTTACATTGCAGCTAGGAGGGGGCCCACCCTCCCGTGTCTGATTGTTGTTTCAGGTGTACGGTCACAAAAGACATAATGGGATGGGCTACATTGAGACTCTTTTGAGGTGAGAAAAAATAACCCTGCATCTGCTTGAATGGTTTGCTCTTCCATTTTCATTATGCATATAAACCATCCCTTTCACTTGGCCTATTCTCTGCTCTTTTTCTCAGATAAGCATCTTTGCAAGCTATAGCCTCTGATTTAGAGAGACACAGAGAAGTATACAGTGCTTAAAATTCCTTCCTCCCCAATGCATCCCTGCCAAAAACCTCCTATGTTTCCTTTGTATTATTTACGCAGCCTTGGAGTCAGTGATCAGCTCCCAGATGATTGGTCTTTGAGTTATATACTGAAAATAACTGAAAGTAAGAGCAAGATCTAAGATCAAGATATTAACTGAGCTACCAGGACACAGATAGGGAAAAAAAAAAAACCCTTTGAAGATATACTACTAAATTATCATCAAAATATTAATATTACTTAATGATGGAGTGACATTTTAAAGTGACAAGGCAAGTTAAAGAAGCTCTCCAGGACCATTTCCATTCTTGTAGTAGAAAGTCAAGTCTTTGGTTGATAAAAATGAGTACCATAAACTTACCTTTGACCAGGGACTGCATTAAGTGGTTGTGTAGTCTGCAGAATAATTCTGTATAGTGGGATTATTATTATTTTACTTGACAAGTGAGGGAACTGAGGCTCAGGGAAGGTGCATTATTTACCCATGGTCAGAGAGCTAGAAAAGGAAGAACTAGTCTCTAATCAGGTGAGATGAAACGGGATGAGAGTGGAGTGATGGCTTAGTTCAGCTATGTCATGATTGTCCCAGAGATTGGCAAAACTGAATAGAGAGATTGTAGGAGGGAGAACTTCTCCCACAAAATTGGCAGGAGAAGAAGGCAGACATTGTGTATTAGCAGCGTGAGGGAGAGTGACAGCACAAGGTCAGGGACAGGGAGCTCTAACAAGATTTTCTAAAATTATTTATTTATTTATTTATTTATTGTATTGGCAAGGAGTATGTACTCCATTCAGAGAGGGAGAGGACCACCCCCACCGTCAGTGAAATGAGATCATGCCACAATTCTTTTTCCCCAGAGAGGGAGAGGACCACCCCCACACCCCGTGAAATGAGATCATGCCACAATTCTTTTTCCTCCATTTCTTCATCCTATCAGGATTTTGAACATGCACACACATGTGCCCAGCATGTTTTTCAAGCTACCAGAGCTGGTATATGAAGTGTGGTTGGCCATGTGGGATCCAGCTCGCTTTACCGCTGAACTGCAGGGCTGCTCTTCTAATGTGGGTTTAAGGTTATTGTTGAACAGGCTGGAAAGGAAGGAAGGCCAGGCTCAGAAGGCCATATTAAATAAGGAATCAGAGTGATGGATGGATTCTTGTGGAGGTGGCTGGAAAGAAAGGAAGCCCAGGCTCAGAAGGCCATATTAAATAAAGAATCAGAGTGATGGATGGATTCTTGTGGAGGTAAGGAAAGGAGATTACTTGCCCTGGGTGAGAGTTACCATGGAGACACAATGTGGAGGCATAGGCCTGGACTTCATCCAATGATAGGCAGAACTATTGCATGAAAATAAAGTCAGATATGCCTTGGAGTGAACTGAGGGGTCTGGTTTCAAATCCTGCTTCCAAGTTCTGCTGCCAGTGATAAACTGGCTGAAAAAGTAATAGGAAGGCCAGCATAGAATAGTGTCGGCACTCTCGGAGGGCAAGGACAGAGTGGCACTCAATGACACTCAGCAGGACAACTCAGGAGGGGCCGATGCCCTGCTGGGTGGGCAGTGCTCTAGTAGGGTCTGCGGTAGAAGGACTCTGCCCCTCAGTGAGGTCGGAACCTACATGGCTAGCTCCTCCTTGGGACAGCCTCCATGGAAGAATGCCCAGGCGCTTCCGGTGCCTCCGCAGCTGCGTGGGACTCACTCTGAACTCTCAAAGCGAGGCCGTATTTTCTTTTCTCTCTTGTCAGATACTGACTCCCACGCAGGAAAAAGGAAGCACCTTTTGTCAGATGCTGCGGCCACTTCCTCTTCAGAAGGCTCCAGCCAGTGTTTCGCTTTGCAGAATGCGGGGGCCGGCAGCAGCTGCCCAACTGCGTGTGTGTTGGGCCTCCAGCTCTCGCCTCGTTCGGGGCCTGATCGAGAACAAGCTCCTCTGATGCCTCTCTGGGTCATGGGGGATTTTCTGTGATACAGATCTGGCCCCTTGAACTGGACCAGGCTGTGATCTCACTCGCTTTCAGCCCCTTCAGGGGTTCCTCTCTTGTCTCACCACCCACTGTGGTGTCACTGCTTCTTGCCCCGGCTCAGTCGCCTGTGTTCCTCTCTACAGCTCGGTCAAGGAGCGTGATGACCGGCGAGCAGATGGCAGCCTTCCATCCGGCGTCCACCCCCAACCTGCTGGAAAGGCCCATCAAGATGGGCTGGCTGAAGAAGCAGAGGTCCATCGTGAAGAACTGGCAGCAGAGGTACTTTGTGCTGAGGGCACAGCAGCTCTACTACTACAAGGACGAGGAGGACCTGAAGCCGCAGGTACCAGCAGAGCTGTTAGCCCCCTGCATTAGGGCTCTCCCTCTCCAGACAGAGTGGGCACAGCACCCCATAGGTCCAGCTTCAACCACATGGCCTTCTCAATAGCACCAGAGACATTCATTTGCAAGAAGGTCGTTTTTGCCTTTTCACCATTTTCTAGATAAATAAGCTGAGCTGCCTGATGACAGAGTGGTCCTCCATAAGACAAGCACCACGTTGTTTCTGAAATGTAGCTTTAGGTCATGGCTCAAACCCTGGTGCTGATGGTGGTGGTCCTGCTATGGGGAGCATAGGATAAAAGGGATGGAGGGGAGACAGAAAATAAAAATAAGAAGTAAGGAAAGTTTGTTAGAAAAAAAAAAACATTAGTTCTATGAGGAAAAAGTAGAATGGGAAAGTTTGGGAAGGTTTTGCAATTTTAAATAAGGTCGTCAATGTGACCTAGGGAAGAGAGTGACATTTGAGCAGACTAAGGAGAAGAATTAGCTATTGGATCTCTAGGCCAAAGGAACAGCCCATGCAAAGGCCCAAAGGTAAACATTTCTGTCCTCTGTAGGGAGTAGCAAGGGGGTTGATGTGCAGGAGCAGAGCTCAAGAATGAGGAGTAGATGGTAGGAGGTCAGAAAAGTGAGGGCAGGCAGTTGAGAAGGGCATTGTAAGTCACTGGAAGAACATGAGTGTCTGGAGTGGCACTGCAGGGTTCCAAGCAGAGAGGTGATGTTCTTCAGCTTATGTTGTAAAAAGATGACTCTGACTGCTGAGTTCAGAATAGACCAGAGAGGGGCAACCAGGTAGCATGGTAGTTAAGACAACTGGATCCCACATGGCTGACCATGTGGTTTGAAACTGAGATCCAGCGGCTTGAGAAACATGCTGGGTATGTGTGCATGAGTGCCCAAAATTCCAAGAGGAGAATGGAAGAGAAGGGATTGTGGTCATCCCCCTGTCCTCTCTCACCCCCACCCCGGGGTGTGCATGTCCTCTCTCTCTCTCTTTCTTTGTCTCTCTCCAGTGAGTGCAAGGGCCTTATAGCAAACAAACAAAAGACCAGAGGTTGGGGGAGTGGCTGCAAGGTAATCTAGGTGAGAAGTTATGATGTTTAGAATTTCAGTGGGAGCTGTGGAATAGGGGAAAATGGACAGATTCCAGATACACTTTTTTTTAAAAAAGAATGTCTTTTTTGGTAATTATTTATTATTATTATGTTTTAAATTGCTATAGGGCACATGTTCATCAGAGACAGAGAAAGAGAAAGCAAGCTGCCAGGTCTAGGACTTGAACCACGGTCAGCCGTGTGGGAGTCCAATGCCTTAATCATCACATCACCTGCTGGCCCTGCCAAATATACCTTGAAAGTTGAGTGATCAGAATTTCCTGATGGAGTAGATGAGGCTGTGAGATCCTAAATCTTCAGCCTAGGTATCTTTTCCATATCTTATTGATACTTCATGGCCACTATAGTGTGAAAGAATAAAAGGGGACACTATTAATATTTACACTGGGGAGACAGGGTGTGAACTTGATGTTTCAGTGCAATCAGGACATCTGGTCACTTTCCCAGAGCTCATGTTTGTGGAGATAAAATGGTGGACTTGGGCTAGAAGGAACTTATTAGAGAAGACAGACTCTAGAATCTTGTGGAGCCAGGATAAAACATTAAGAAGTATGAAGGTAAGAATTGTGTGGGTATTGGAGGTGGATAGGCAGGTAAATGGGACCAAAATGAAACATTCATTTTAGAAGAGGACAGTTCTCTTTGAGGGAAGACTTGAGGATCTATGCTGCATCATCAGGACCTGCTTAACCAGGCCCTGTACCTAAGGGCTCTGAGTGTTCTGTCTGTCCTATCAGAGGCCCAGAGAAGACCACAGAGACCCCACCACAGACTGGTTCCTGCCAGGTATCCTGTGCGTGATAATCAGACTTCCTTCCCCTTTTTAAATAACCCAGACATTATCAGAGCTGAGCAATCCCAGGCTACAACACTGATGGTTGGTGGATTCACATAATGCAGGAAGTCATCCCATCTGCAGACAATAAAAGAGATGGCCAAAATGCTTTGGGTGTTCTAAATCAATAGAAAGGTCAAGTGGGCAGTGTTTGATTCCATGACTCGTAGAAGGTGAGAGGTACTTTATATCAAATCTTGTTGTGTTCTTTTCTTGGTTCTGCCACTGTTTGGCCATGTCATTAGTTCCTTTCTGGACCCCTTTTACTTCTTTGATAAAATGAAACAGTACTACTTGGTTTGCATTTGTCACAGGATCAAATGATGTGAAGCAACTGTAAAAATTGTTATGTAAAAATATAAACTCATGTCAAAATGTAAAACAAATATTAAAGATCCTTGCTTACTCCTGAGAGAAGGGAACTCAAGGCTTTTTCAAGATTAAATTAGCCTGAAATAATTAGGTAAAGTGTCTTCTAGGACGTCCAAGATGGTTTATTTTTAGGAAATCTGTTAATGTAATAATTAGATCAATAGATTGAGTGAGAAAAAAACACACAACCCCTCAATAGATGGCTGAAAAAGCATTTGCTAAAATATAACACTCATTTCAAATTAAAAAAAAACTCTTTAAGAATAAAATGATAATTACATAGAAAGAATATTTTACTGTATACTTATATGTATATTTTGATTATAAAAGCTATAGATGTGCATAAAAACAAATATGGAAGATGCAGAAAATCACCAAGTCGGAAATAAAAATCATTCACAGTCTGGTAAGCAAGAAATAGTCATATAAATCCCCATCTCCTTCAGCTTTTCCTATACATATGAATTTAGAAAGTCAGCAAATGCAAGATTAGTATAATTATATCATTTATTTAAAAATTAATAATATATCATGAATAGTTGCCCCTTTACAATAAATATTATTCTACATTGTAATTACTACTTGTGGCAAAATAATCTCTTGCATTGACATTCCACAATTTATTTCATTAATTTCCCACTGTTTGGAATGTAGGATGATATTCATGTATAATAATCACAAAAAGTAACTGGATATCTTTATAGGTTTTTCATAAAGTCATAATTATTTTATTAAGACAAAGAAAAATATGTTTAAGATAAAGCTATATTTTTATGCCATTGTTTAATGCTGTTTTGTGATTCCTGGATGTTTCATATATTTAGAAGTGAAATGAAAGGTATAGACAAGCTCAATTCTTGGAGAAAGTAAAGGTACTTTTCCACATTATGCTTCATACCATTCATGATTCTAGTTAGATTAAAGATCTAAATGTCAACAATAAATTCATAAGGCTACCAGAAGAAAAGGTAGTTGTCTATGTGATCTTTGGGGAGTGTGTTTTTTTAAGACAGCACAAGGAAAAGACAAATTTAACTTCATAAGTAGAAGGATATCTTAAAACTAGCATAGTAAAGTGAAACTGCAGAGAATAACTATTGGGTCACCAGAAAGGTCATGATGCATTTTGCTAGAAAAAAAAAAATAGAGAAATATGTCATGATTCTTCTCACGACCCAATAGGAAAAATTGTGTATGTCTATATGACAAACAGATTTTTTAAATATTAAAAGTATTATATTCAAATTCATAAGAAAAGTCCAAATACCATAGTAACAAAATGAGCACTGATATAAATGGGCAACTTACCAAAGAAATGTTTGGACAACCAGCACATATAAAATCTTCAACCTTGGTAACAGTTGAGGACATATAATGTACGCTAATGAGACAGCAATGTCCCCTTATAAAATTGGCAAAGATTTTCTAGAAATGTTCATGATAACTAGGAAACAGGAATTCTTACGCAGAGCTGGCATAAAGGAAGATTTGTGTAATCTTTCTGGAGAGTAATATGCCTTTTAAAATATAGAAACCCTTATGGGACCAGCAGATGGCATAATGGTTATGTGGCTGGACTTTCACGTAGTTGATTGCAGTTTGAGTCCTGGGCCTAGATGCTTAAGCTCACACTGGGTGCCTGTGTGTGTGCCCCAAATCCCGAGAGGAGACCGGAGGAGAAAGGATTGCAGCGTGGCCATCCCCCTGGGGGTGATTTCTCACTTTACATGTGCCTTATAGTAAAAATCTCTCTTTAAAAAAATGTAAAAAATAACAACCCTTAGACCACATTTCTAATTGTAGAAATGTATGCTAAGTGAATGGTTAAGAATGATGTAGATAATTAAATTTGCCTGTTCAGGTTTTCACCACGGTGTTGTTTAGTAGTGATGAGAAAACAATGCCCAGTGAGTGGAAGGAACTAGCATATCATACATTTATATATATATATATTATAGCTATGAAATCAAATACAACTCAGACTTTTAATACTCTAAATCAATGTATTTTTAAATGGAGATATGTTTATAATAATATTGTTGTCTTAAAATTTTTTACAAGAGAAGATATTGTAAATACTAACCCATTCTTGACAAAAACAAGACTCTGTGTCTATGGAAAAAATAAACAAAGGTGTTAACTTTGGTTATCTTTAAAGACTAGGGTTGTATACAAAATTGTTTACTTTCTTTTATGTCCTAATTTTTTATAATTGAGATATAATACGAATTTAAGAAAAAAGAACACACCCGTACACACATACCTTTCCCTCTCCCTAAACCAAAATAGTAGATATTATACAATATAGTCTTGGGGCAATGCAGGGAAAAGGGTCTTGGCATACACTGATGATATATGCGTAAGCTGGGATGACCTTTCTAGAAAGCCATTTAATCAGATTTACTAAAAGCACATCATGCCCTTAGACCCAAGTGACTCTGGTTTTAAGAAGCTATCCAAAGAAATTAGAAGGGATATGTAATGAAATTTATAATGATAAACATTGGACCTAATCTCCTTTAGAAGGGATATATAATGCTATTTATAATGATAAACATTGGACCTAATCTCCAACCAAGGAGAATGATTAAATGAATGACGGAACATGTATGATAGCCTTTTTAGTGTGTGTTTTTGGGGGAATTGTGGTCCCTCTATAGAAGGCAGTGTATGCATTTTTTCCTGCATTGTCAGAAAGGTCCTGTATAGCTCTCACTGTACAATGTGTACAATGCACTATAAGTCTAGGAACTAGCTTTATAGAGCCCATTTAAAAAGCTTCTTCATCAGGGAAGATATTTAAAACAGAATTTTTGCAAATTGCCCTCAAGTCTTGCTGCAGTGTTGATTTCAATCAATCCTAGCTTGGTAGGGTAGACCCACCACCCTGTTGTCTCTTCTCCCTGTTTTTCCAAGACATTACCACAGGTGGTTTTCTGTCAGTGGCGTGCTGGTAAATGTCTAACAGCCAGCTCTCTGGTGGGGGAGCTGATTTGTGTGCTAATTTCTGTAATGTAAATATTCACATCATGACTGATTCAAGCTACGAACACACTATCACTGAACTCAAAATTGAGAAGAGATGTGAAATAACACAGATTACTTAGAATCTTCACCACACTGATGGAGAATAGATGCAAACAACCACCACAGCAGAAATAGTAGTAAAATAAATAGGAAATGATAGCTATTGAGCATTATTATCTTTTTCAGCAAGACATATTTCATTGTAAACTTACAGTTTAAGTTTTAGTAATAGCTGCATCTAACACTGACTCACAGAATTCCTGAAAATATGAGCAATAGTTCTCATGAGCCAACGCAAAATGCCTCTATCATTCCATTGTCACGGTTCTGCCCCCTGCACCTCCCCAGCTTCATTGTTGCAGGATTTTCAGCTTGTGGTGTAAAATAAACCTCTCTCTTTCCATCTGTATACAGAGTGTACCCTAGTCAACTTGTGAAGTAGGTGAAAGTGGTTATGCGTAACCTGGGCCACCCTTCCCTCCCTGAGAAAATCCCTCCTTCTCTCAGTGCCCCTATCCTCTAGCCCCACTCTTTCCTCCCCCAACTTCATGTCTCTTCTTCTTCTTCTTCTTCTTCTTCTTCTTCTTCTTCTTCTTCTTCTTCTTCTTCTTCTTCTTCTTCTTCTTCTTCTTCTTCTTCTTCTTCTTCTTCTTCTTCTTCTTCTTCTTCTTCTTCTTCTTCTTCTTCTTCTTCTTCTTCTTCTTCTTCTTCTTCTTCTTCTTCTTCTTCTTCTTCTTCTTCTTCTTCTTCTTCTTCTTCTTCTTCTTCTTCTTCTTCTTCTTCTTCTTCTTCTTCTTCTTCTTCTTCTTCTTCTTCTTCTTCTTCTTCTTCTTCTTCTTCTTCTTCTTCTTCTTCTTCTTCTTCTTCTTCTTCTTCTTCTTCTTCTTCTTCTTCTTCTTCTTCTTCTTCTTCTTCTTCTTCTTCTTCTTCTTCTTCTTCTTCTTCTTCTTCTTCTTCTTCTCCTCCTTTTCCTCCTCCTCCTCCTTCTCTTCCTCCTCCTCTTCTTCTTCTTCCTTCTTCTCCTTCTCCTTCTCCTTCTTCTTCTTTTTGTTTTACTATAGGGTGCATGCACTCACCAGAGAGAGAGCGGTAGAGAGAGAGAGAGAGGAAGTGAGAAATCACTCTCCCTGGGGAGATGGCCACACTGCAATCCCTTTTCTTCCGTTCTCCTCTCAGGATGATATGGACACACACATGCATCTGGCGTGTTTTTCAAGCTGCCAGGTTTGGGACCCACACCCCTCAGTTGGCCGTGCAGGATCCAGCTGCCTAAACCACCTCACCACTGTCTGGCCCTACCCACATCCCTTTATCCATTTGTGATGTTCAAGGTTGTCATGCTCAGTGTGAGGATGGCCTGCAATTAGTCATTTATTCCTTGGTGTGAGCAACTTTACCTCTGATTGTGACTTCTTCCAGCAAATGGGAACTCTAAGTAAAGTCTTGTAATCCCAGAATCACACCAACCAAGTTTGAATCATAGCTTTCCTGTTAACTAGCTTGGTGGTCTTTGGTCAGCTAACTAACCTCATCTCTCCGATGGGGAAAAGCACAGTCCTTTCCTCAAAGAGTCCTTAAGAAGGTGAAAGATGCTAGCCTTCAGGGCGATTAGCACAGTCTAACGCCCAGTAACTGCCCAGCAAATAGTATATGCATTTTTAGGATCTTAATTTTACTATTTGCTGATGAAGTGATTTGGAGTTTTAAATGAGAGTTTAGAGAGATACTTAAAGAGAGGCAGGTTCCTTTGAAACTGCATTTTCCTTCTCCTCCTACCAGACAATTCTCCTTCCTGTTTAAAAGTAACATGACCTTTCATTCTGACATTGTAATATATCTAAAGTAGCCCAGCATTTTTCTTTTCCTGAAGGCAATGATGTAACTTACTAAAGATGGTGAGGATCATGAAGGTGGAGCTTACTAGGTAATAAAGTAAGAGGAATGTAGAAGAGTTGCAGAATTCAGTCATAGATTATTTTTCTTCTCCTTTTCCTTTTCTCTTCCCCTTCATCTTCCTTGTTCTCATTGTCCTCCTCCTTTCGCTCCCCTCTCCCCTTTCTTCTCCTCCTCCTGTCCTTTCTCTTGCCCCTTCTTCTCCTCTACTCCTCCTTTCCCCTTTCTTTTTCTCTCCTTTAGTCTTAGACATCTCTGTTTCTAGACTGACAGGAAACATGGATTCTTTCAGGTTCCTGAGCTGATCTTAGTTCCAAGATTTCCTTAAGATCCTTGCCTTTATAGCTTTCTCTGCTGCTGATTCTCTTCATCCATACTTTGTTGTGGAATACAGGACACAGGTTTACTCATCTCAGAATCAGACGTGCTGCTTTCAACATCCAGTGAGATATTAATGATGAGTAACTTTGGTACGAATTAATTGTGTCACTTTGTGTATCACTTAGACCTCCAAAATGCATATCTTTGTCCACAAAGTACAAGTAATAAATTTCACCCTGCTCTTGATATGGTGCTGCTGTGGGGATCTAAAAGTGTAAACTGTAAAGGATAAAGCAGCATGCATACACCCGTGCATGCAGGTGACTTGCTTTTCTAATGGCATATCCACGTAGAAGGGGTCACATATCCCCCTGAACTCTCATTCTCTTCCAATGGCTCCTTTTCCTACCACCTCAGCTGTGATGGCAGCACTGGCCTTGGACTTACTTCTGGGATGAACTATCCTTCTCCCACTCACTAGCTCTGCGACCTTGAGCAAATAATGGGACCTTTCTGATCCCATTTTCCTCCCTTGTAAGATTTGTGTGATACCCTGCATGAAAGATTGAAGGGAGGATTAAGTGAATAATACATGACCTTGAGCAAATAATGGGACCGTTCTGATCCCATTTTCCTCCCTTGTAAGATCTGTGTGATACCCTGCATGGAAGATTGAAGGGAGGATTAAGTGAATAATACATTCAAGTTTGTGAGCAAAGAGGCAGGCACCTAGAAAGTGCTACTCAGCAGCTCTTGTTGCTACTGAGTACCCACCTCCTCCATGGCTGCTGTAGTTTGGTCCTTACTGAGTACCCGCCTCCTCCACAGCTGCCTGTAATTTGATCCTTACTGAGTGCCCGGCTCCGCCATGGCTACCTGTAGTTGGGTCCTTACTGTTTGCTCTGGCAGGCAGCAATATGGTATGGTCAGTCTTGACGACATGGTATGGTCAATCTTGATCTTCTAGGCCTTCTAAAAGATCAAGTGTCTGAGTGGTCATGAATTCAGGTCCTTAGAAAAATGGGAAGAGGCAAATGTCAGTGAGGGTAACATGTCATCTCACTGCCAAGGCCTCACCCTTTCTCTCTAGGCACCTAGCTTGCTCTCAGGTAGGTAGCTGCCACTTAGTTTGACCAAGTCCTGAGTAGCAGAAGAACCCATCGAAGCTGAGATGGAAGCTTTCCACGTTCCTCTCCACCTGCCCTCCTCACCCTCCCATCATAATGCTATCTGCTCTCCAACTTAATATTAGGTCACAGGTGACATAATTGTTGCTTATCTTAAAGGCTGGACTTTTGCTCTTTTAGGGCTCCATGTATCTACCAGGAAGTACGATCAAGGAGATTGCCACAAACCCAGATGAAGCTGGCAAGTTTGTCTTTGAAATCATTCCAGGTAAGCAACAGAAAATAATGCAGAGGTACATTACAGTCCCATTTTACTTCTTGATTCTAGAAATCGAGGCTATATTCAGTGAGTCCTTCAACCAGTGAACCAACCAACCTATGAATGCGTAGTGGGGCCAGCCAGGGGCATAATTGTTAAAGCAGCTGGATCCTACATTATTGACTGTGCAGTTTGAGTCTGGGATCTGGCAGCTTGAGAAACATGCTTGATGAGTGTGTGTGTGTGTGTGTGTGTGTGCCCCAAATTCCACAAACAGGAAGAGATGGAGGAGAAAGAACTGCAGCATGACCATCCCTCATGAGGGATGCTTTTAAATTCTCTCTCTTTTCTTTCCCTCTATCACTCTTTCTCTATCTTCAGAAAGTGTATGCACCTTCTGGAAAATAAAAAATAAAATAAAATAAAAACATGAATAGTTGTTCTGTATATAGTTCATGAGCTTATTTTAGTTCATTAGCTAGTATTGAGTATTCAAATAATGTTCATGAGCTAAATGGGGGCACATTCAGATCAATACTGAAAGCATATATGAGTGTGTGCTCAGAGCCAGACACTGTCCTAGGCACTGAGAGACTGATAAGAAAAGGCATCATTCCTACTCACGAAAAGCAACTCAGTCTACAAGGTGAGTAGGACATTAAAATTACAGTTAGAAATACACATTGAACTGTGTGAAATCGCAATTTTAGTAGGTCGAAAATGGTGGCAGGTCAGCACCTCCTATAGCTCAACATCACCTAATGAGAAATGACAGCTGCTATTTACTTGAACACTTCACGTGTGTTGGATGCTGTGTATCACCTGCTGCACACGTGAATACCATGTTTAGGACATCTCTTCCCAGCCAAAAGTTATCCTCCCTACATGCATTTCAAGCAAGGAGATATTATCTCATGTGCCTGGATATACCACAGTGAGGTTACATCTCCCTGTCTCTGCCTCTTGCTCTTATACCAATCCTAGCCCTCCCAGCTCTAGGACTGCTGATCTGGACATACAGTTTTGCCACCACTGCTGTATTGTGACCATGGTAGGGAGGCCACAGTGCCCAGGGTACCCCTTCCCTTAATTTCTTCTTCACCAATTACACAAGGTGGTTTTGTGCATAAGAGAGTAAGTGAAGAAGACAGTATACCCACAGTTCAAAAGTGCCCATTATAGAACTAGCTTGCCTGAGTCCAAGTTCTGACTCTGCCACTTACTATCGTCTAATCATGATCAAGTTACTTAATTTATCCCTGCCTCTGTTTCTTTATCTATAAAATAGGGACATTGATGATGATAGATAGAACTTAATAGAAATATACATGAAGCACTTGGTGCCTGGTATGTAGTAAGTTCCACATGAGTGTTTGACATTTTGGGGATAACTAGAGAGAATTATAATGAACAAAAATATTTAAAACCCTGAAACTGGGTTTTAATATGACTACTTATGGAAAACAAATAAAAAATATTAAGTTCAGTTCTTCCTTGGTAGTTCCCTCATGGGCCCTCCTTTCACTTTTCATCCTAACTTCTATCCTCTTCTCTTCCTCTGACAAGCAAAAGCCTGTTTTCCCAGCTTCTCCTCTCTAGAAAAATTCAGCCCCTTTTCCACAGGGTTTTATTTCCAAGATCCTTCTTGCAGTGCAGTTCATGGGACACAACCACCCATGATAACATGTGTCCCAAAGCCTGGGTTTTCAGTCTAGGATAACCCTACTGAGAGTTCCAGCTGAAAGTTCACTGTGAGCTGTGAACCAAAAGCCCTTTAAAACTACTTTGCCCTTTAAAAATCCTCTGAGTAGGAGGATTTGTCCTCCCATTATCACTTAAGCTTACAGTAGTCTATACCACACACACACACACACTCACACACACACACACGTTTAATAAGGACAAATAATTCTAAAATGATAGTAAAGTGGAAAGCCATTTTCTTAAAGGCACCATCACTTTCAAGGTCCTACCTAATCTAAAGGGAGACAATCCTTTGTGGTACGATACAGAGAATTTTCAGTTCCTCTTTTTGTCATCCTCTTGTGCAAGATGATTTTCAGAGGCCAAGGCTACTCTTGTCTCCTCTGATTCTAAATATGCACAATGAACTTCCTCTTCCATTTGGAAGGAAATGGCTTCTGTCCTTTCTGGAACTAGTTCTTTGCCCAAGCTATCCTGACTGTAAGCCATGTGTGTCTATCGAATTACAGCTTCAACAAAAACCATATGAGTACACGGATATTGAGTGGGACTGAGGATAATCAGATAAGGTTTCTGTGTTATCTGACTGCTGGTGCTTCACTGAACCAATAAATCAACTTGAGTTTGTCTTTCCTGCCCTTCCCCTTGTTCTGGCGTCCTTACCACTCTAAGACTGTTACATGTGCTACTTCTTCCTCCAGCCTCATGGGACCAAAATCGGACAGGACAGGACTCCTACGTCCTCATGGCCAGCTCCCAGGCGGAGATGGAAGAGTGGGTTAAATTCCTCAGGAGAGTTGCTGGCACGCCCTCTGGAGGTAAGGACCCCTGAGCTTTTCCTCAAAGGTGTTTGTGACCTGTCAGGGTTAAGGGAGAATTACCCAAGTCATGATCACTCTTAAACAGTGCTCTACGGAGATAACCAGAGAACACTGAGACCATGATCACAGCCAAATCCTCTGTTGAAGGTGGAGGAAAAGAAGGTGAATAATTTCTAACTCCCTCCCTAGATCAGCTTAAAAAGCTGATTCCAGATCAGCTGCAGGGATGGCCAGTTATTTCACTTACTGTGTGATACCCTAAAGTAGTCCTACAAAACTCCAGACACAATTCCTGAACCTTTTCCCAGTCTCACTGCCCTTCTCCAGGAGAACAGCATTATCTTCCTGTGCTGAGCAGCCTAACTGATGCGTTTGAGCTTCCAAGTCCAGGACTTGAATCGCAGTCAGCCATGTGGAATCCAGGGCCTTAACTACCATGCCACCTGCTGATTCCAGTACTACACAATTTAGAGGTTAATTGTTATGGGAAATTGAAATCATTCCAATGATGTTCAGCCACAAAGAGGAATTTATTGGATGGATGCAGGAGCTATTCAAAGAAAACAAGGTGGGGCCAGCAGGTGGTATGGTGGTTGAGGTGCTGGATTCCCACATGGTCCTGAATCTAGTAGCTTGCTTTCCCTATCCGTGCCCTCTCTCTCTGGTCAAATTGAAGAGTGATAATAATAAATAAAATTAAATGAATAATTCTTTAAAAAGAGAGGGGGGGAGAGAGAGAGAGAAAGAAAAAGAAAAAGAAAGAGAGAAAGAAAGAAAAAGAAAGAAACTAAGGGCAGGAACTGCTGAGACCAAGGACTGAGGCCCACAAGTGGAACATTAGCATTGAGTTTCTCTGTTGGTTTCTCCAGGGCCATGTGGAATCCAGGGCCTTAACTACCATGCCACCTGCTGATTCCAGTACTACACAATTTAGAGGTTAATTGTTATGGGAAATTGAAATCATTCCAATGATGTTCAGCCACAAAGAGGAATTTATTGGATGGATGCAGGAGCTATTCAAAGAAAACAAGGTGGGGCCAGCAGGTGGTATGGTGGTTGAGGTGCTGGATTCCCACATGGTCCTGAATCTAGTAGCTTGCTTTCCCTATCCGTGCCCTCTCTCTCTGGTCAAATTGAAGAGTGATAATAATAAATAAAATTAAATGAATAATTCTTTAAAAAGAGAAGGGGGGGAGAGAGAGAGAAAGAAAAAGAAAAAGAAAGAGAGAAAGAAAGAAAAAGAAAGAAACTAAGGGCAGGAACTGCTGAGACCAAGGACTGAGGCCCACAAGTGGAACATTAGCATTGAGTTTCTCTGTTGGTTTCTCCAGGGCCCTGCAGTTTCTTGTTCTGCTTTCCTTTTTGTTTTGTTTTTGGAGAGGTTTTTGCTATAGGGCGTGTGTACTCACCAGAAAGACAGAGAGAGACAGAGAGACAGAAAGCGAGAAATCACGCCCTGGGGGGATGGCCACGCCACAATCCCTTCTCCTCCATTATCCTCTTGGGATCTTGGGCATGTACGCACACGCGCCCGGCATGAGTTTAAGCTACTGGGTCCAGGACTCGAACCGCGGTCAACTACGTGGGAGTCCAGCAACATAGCCATTACACTAACTGCTGGTCCCTGTTTTTATCTATCTAGAAGCCCCTGAGTGTATATGCTTGTCCCAAATACCCCTGTGCCAGCCCAGTTTTCTTATGTTTTTCACTTGAGCATCAGCTCATCTTTCCAAACTGCTGAGAAACAGAGTCTACCTGGCTCGACTGAGGTAGGAGTCCACCTGTGGACCCAAGCCTGGGGCAGGCAGGCAGCTGTGTGTGTCGTGACTCATTCAGCAGGGACTTTGAGAAGAAAAGTGACTCAAATGGGACAGCCTCGCTCAAGATTGCCAGCCACAGCCTTCCTTAACATCTGCATTTTATTACCAAAAGAGTAGTTTCCCAGTTGCTAAACACTTTATTTATTTATCTTTTTACCATGTTAATTGGACTGAGATGAGGTTTTTCTTTATTAAAGGTTTCATATTTTCCATTTCAGGCTAACTAATCTTAGCAGTGACCTTTCCTGTTTGCCCTGGATTGTGAAATTATGAGGCACACTGTTTTCTGCTTTTCCCAGTTCAGGGCTTCAGGCCATCTGCATTGACATGGGGAGTGGGTGTTGCTTAATTATGCACCTGTTCTTAGTCAAAAGTACTTTCTTGTCTACGCACGCTTTCACTAGGATCTTGGCCTTTTATGATGCGTGGCTCAGCCTGGCTGAGATGAATTTCTGTGCCCCTGTCATAACACACAGGCGCTTTCTCTCTTGCCCCACCCCAAGGCCACCACCTAAGGAGCAAATCAAGCATAAATCCTGTGTGCAGTGGGAAGCCCAGGGGAGGGAAAATCAGCTGCTTACTTATTCAAAGAACAGTGTCGCTCTGATGTAGCAGCTCAGATGCCTTAAAAATTACTCAATGAGCCCAAATTGTAGTTCCCAGAATGAGAAGATACTTTAAGATGGCAGAGTCCCATCCAGAGTCATTGGGCACATCAGGTATTTGTCCTTTCTGTTTCTGGGTCAAGAAACTTCAGTCCTGAGAAATAAATGATGACTTGTCCAGGGGCCCAGCTAGTGAGGGCCAGGGCTTCCTTGGCATGGCATAGTACCAGCTGGAAAGCACCTCTAATCAGGCTCTACCAGGTTGGCAGGGCATAGCCCCAAATACCTTGACGCCTTTGAGATGTGTCGCTACTGCCTCTTTCCAGCCCTCCAGGAAACTTTTCCCCAACTGGAACCTGCTCACTTCATGCTATCTTTGTAACTACCACTCTGGTTGAGATGCAATCGTTTGTTGTCAGCAAGATCCTCCAAACTCATCTCTAACTTTCACCCCCTGCTCTCTGTAGGCAGCCTGTTTTCAGTAATGAGGCCAGGGTGAGCCTGTAACACTTTCTTACTTGTTTAAAAGACAAAGGGCTTATATTAACTTAGACTGTAGTGCATGATCATGGAGATCATCCTTCTGGTCTTGTTTCTTTTTCTTTTCTTTTCTTTCTTTTTTTTTTTTTTTGGGATTTTTGTGATAGGGCACATGCAAGACAGAGACAGGGAGACAGAAAGTGAGAAGTCACGCCTGGGGTGATGGCCACACCTCAATCCCTTCTCCTCCATTCTCCTCTTGGAATCTTAGGCATGCACATACATACACCCAGAGTGAGTTTAAGCTACCGAGTCCAGAACTTGAACCACCGTTGACTACGTGGGAGTCTAGCAACGTCGCCTTTAGGCCAACCACTGGTCCCTCGTTTTTAGAATCCTCTTTCGTGCTCATTTCACGTCAGCCTCACCAGCCTCCTCAAATACATGAGGCATGCTGCTGCCTCAGGGCCTTGTGCTTGCTGTCTCCTCTGCCTTGAATCCTCCTTCCTCAGACTTCGTCTCTTGCTTTCTTCAGATGGTTGCTCAAACATCAGCTCAGTAAGCCTTTTCCTGATTATCTGTTTTACACTGAACCTCTTTCTCACCCCTAGCCCTTCCTAGCTTTCTATTCTGTGTAGATTTTCTCCTTAGTATGGTGCTTTCTTCGAATATGTTAACGTTTTGCTTTTTTTTAAATTTTTATTGTTATCATTATTTTTTTACAGTCACTCTGCCCGTCATTAGAATGAAGGTTTCAATCTACGGGACAGCAATTGCGTTCTCTGTCTTTTTTCACTACTCTGTCCCAGAATCTAAATCGTGCTTGACAGAGTAGATGTTCAGCAAATATTTGTGAAATGAATGAGTGGAAGAATGACCTCAATTTCCCATGGCAGTACCGTGTTCTACTCCTTCAGGTTCTCCTCTTTGATAAACAATGATCAGCTTATTTGAGAAGTTACTCAGTAAGTGGGTTATTCCTTCCAGAATCATTTCTCTCTAAACAAGTTGAAGCTCATCAACTTTGGCAAAGCTCTTTATGGTTCAAGGACCTACTTACTGAATCTGATAAAACCTAAGAAAACTCTCCCTAGAAAAATATTTAGGCACAAATAATGTTGCTTTCAACAGCAGGATATTCTCAGACACCTGGGACTCCTTTTTTCACACTAGGTGGGGAATTCCAACTTTAAGTTTTAGAAGTCACTTCTGCAGAACTCACACCTCTTCCTGCCCTCGGTCCCCTTTTTGGCTCTTTTTCTCCCTTGACTGGAGAGAAGAGCCCACATGGTCTCCATGGCACCCACAGCTTCTCTTGGTTCCTCCTGCCTCACCATTTGCTCTCAATATCCCTCTCACCTTGGAAAGCAGCGCCTCGCTGTTTCAGCCTTTTTCTTCTCAGAGGGTCAATTTTTTACCCCCCCTTTTACACAACCTTCTTCTAAAAGACTGGAAATGTTAGACCAACTATTTTTTCCAGAAGTCCTAGGTGTGCTTCTAGGTTTTCTTGATTCAGGTAGGGGAAATGGAATTGAGGCCATCACATCTCCACCCCTGACAACTCGTTTCCAGACTCACTTCTGCCCATTTTCTCCAAACCATCCCCCTTTTTAGCAAGAGGGCCATGCCTCCTTTGGATCCCCATATTAAAACCTGTATCCACCTTAAAGTCTTTTCCCAACCCTATTGTAAGGCCTTGGGGCAGGCCCTGTGATTTTGTGTGTTTGCTAGCACGAGGCATATAGATTGTAAATACCAAATCGTTATAAGCCTTGGGTTCCTTATCTTCCTCTCATTCTTTGACACTCTCTGCACCCTTCAGAACATAATTTCAGAGTCCACAGCACAGGGAAGCCTGGGGAAATGGGCTCTCTCTAAGATTCGTTGTTATCCCATGTGTTCTGATCCTTTCGCTCTAAACTGAACACCAAGCGGGATGGTGTTTACTACTTGTACTAATTCCCTCCTCTCTCCTTCCCCTGGCTCCTAACACTAGATGTACACTTACTTACTCATTTACTCACCAGCTGTTTTCTGAACGTGTGCCGTGTGTGCCAGGCAGCACGCCAACACTAGGGGTACTATAGTGACA